AAATACTCTCCATAAAAAGACATCAAGAAGAAAAAAAAACAGACATCTTTAGTTTCGTTTAATTGTTGTTAGGGGGGAATAATTGTAAAGGTTTTTTATGAAAATTTTTTTTTTTTTTTTTTTTTAAAAAGGGGGTTTTTTTTGTGGGTTGTGGGGGAGATGTAAAAGGGGGTTTTTGGGGGGGGGGGGGGGGGGGAGGTGAGAGTCACTAAATGTAACTGCAACGATTGTGCCTTATTTAGGAGGAAATCTTGGACCGGTTCTAATTGATAATCTATAGCTAACACCATGCACAGTGGCCAACTCTATCGTTGTCGTTCCTTTGGCTACTGTTCACATACGTTCATAGATTGACTTCCATTTTATACCAGAAATCTTCTATTAAGCCCCCCTCTTTTCAGGGGAAGAAAGTTAATGAGCCCCCCTCTCTTTTAAGCCCCTCTTTCCTCCCCTGTATTACTGTTCACTAATAAATGACAGACTGTATTTGTGTATTAATCAATCACCACTGTAAAACTTCATTTGAACAGATCTAGGATGGTTTATTCACCAGCTGGAAGTTCAGATTTGTTTTTGATCCTCGGCTGCATGACCTCCAACTTCTTGACTTGAGCCTTTCCACTTTGCATTCTGGTTCATTGTTTGAACTGATACCATAGTCTTAGCTCAATGAAATAAGCCCCCCTCTCAAATAAGCCCCGCGTCTGTATTAAGTCTCCCCTCAAAAGTGTTTGAAACAAATAAGAACCCCGGCGGCTTAATAGAGGATTTACGGGGAAATTCTAACAATTGTTAGTACTAAGTAAATGCCCTTTAAACAGTGTAAGTATAAGTAAAAGCAAATAAGTTGAAGTTGATAACCTTCGATTATTTTTGGTGTGCAAACGGAGGCAACATGTACTATCTAACAATGTTGGGAGTTGTTGGCCAACAATGTTGCGTCCGTTCGGCACGCGATCACGTTTACCACAAACAGCAAACTTCAGATTCAAGTTGAGAATTTCTCAAAATAGAAAATAGGCGGATAAAAACTGTCCAGAACAATTGTTATGGATAAAACGGGCGTGAAATTACTGATCTTTTTTGCAAAAGTAACTGATCAGTAAACGACAATAAGTACAAATTCAAGTCGTCACGTTTGGCGTAACTCTCTAACATGTCTCATGTCTATGAAGTATTTTAGATGAGATTTTGAATTAACGAACTTTAAGAAGGGCCGATCTTCGTTCGAGCAAGTTAAGGCTCTAGAAATAGTTTTCACTGAAAATTCTTTAACAGAGGAAAACGGAGGGATATGTTTCCCGTGACATTGTCGCCTAATTGTTTTTTGACAGTTCGGCATTGTTTATTATTTTACCTTATCTTTGATAACTGTGTGTTGTTGTCTCAAATGGCTGTTTTGACTGAGAATTAACAATATGCATTTTATCTATCAAGGTTTAAGCAAGTGTGCCGACTTGAAATTCAAGTGACAAATACTCTCGTGTTTCCAATTAAAGATCCAACATTTTAAGCAAATTCAACTCCACGATAAAGTAGTACTGTTAAAGACCCGTACATTAAAAGTGCATTTTCTCTCCAACTTGTAGAGCAAAATAAACGTTATTGCTCAATTAAGTTTCTTCAGCTTTCCCGATTTTGTTTATAGAATCACTAACAGAATTTCATCCATAGTCTCAAAAGTTTGAATCTTCTGAGCAAGGCAATAAATACACTTGGATACGACTTTTCTTCATGGTCACACTCTGACACAAAAGCTTAGAGCCACTTAAAGTATGATAAAGAATTAGTCAGCTATAAAATGAGTAAAGAAAGGCAAGGACCAACTCTACGTGTCTGTTTCAGCGAGGTGTCCGTACGGTTAAGACAGAGTTGACTAACGAACAGGAGATGACCTTTTTATAAAGGTGGTAGCTAGAATATTCTTAAGTTCTCAGGGAGTTAAGGTGATTCATTTTAATTTCAGCAAGAGGTGACTGAACTTATTGTTTAGTTTCCGAGTACTATTAAAAATATCAAAGGTTTGGGTCATTCAATTTTCATATAGCAGTGAGATATGATTGTTTATTTACACACAGGACTGAGACGACAAATAAATAATCAGATAATACTTCCCTTATTTTTCAGCTGTTGGTGCGATATGGTGAATCTACTCATTATGTCTTTGAGTTATGTTTGTTTTTCACATTTGATAAATGAAAAGATAATTATTTGCAAAAGATTTACTTGAAGTTGCTGTTACCACTGAATTAATGGCTGATAGGCTTTTCATTTGAATCATTCCAGGCTTTACTTCTCGCTGTTCACGCAGATTGGTGATTTTTATGCCACTCAAATAACGGCCTCCCGAGCATGCCATTTAAAGCGAGCAAATACTCAAAACTACGAATCTGTTTAATTTTTTTGGACAGCATTAACGTAACACTTACAAGCTCTTCCCTTAAAAAAAAATTCCGATCACCAACTAGGGGATGTTTCACTTTTAATTTCTTTTCTGCGGCTGTTGCATCGC